ACTTGGTGCCTGGACGCAGTGGCTCCAGGGAAGCGGCTCTCCATCCTGGCTGCTGAACTCTGGCTGGTTGACTAGGACAGCCCTGGAGGCGGCGGAGGACAGACCACGGCGGGAGGTCTCTGCAGGTGGAGAGAGGGGCACAGGCTGGCCGGCCAGCCGCCTCTGTGGAGGGAGGGCCCTGCAGCCTCGGAGGATCCTGGCAGAACACGGAGTGGATGTGATGACCACGTGTGAATGCCACGTGTGGATCCCGGTGTTTGGCCAGGACTCTGGCTAGGCCCCTAGGCAGCCTCTCAGCCTGGCTGCTGGAAGAGCCTCGGTGGGAGAGTGGTTGGCTTGAGACTTGGCAGGTGGCTCTGCTCTGTGCAGTGCAGGGTCCCTGGCCACTCTGGTGTGGATGAGCCACAGGAGTGAGTGGCCTTGGGCTGCTGGAGTGGAGCAGAACCCGAGGGTCCAGGCACTCCCTGCACGTGCCAGGTCGGGGGGCGGGGGCCATGGGGGACAGTCTCAGAGTGGAGAGGGTCCTCACTGGGGCTGCTGGGCCTGTCCGGGGCACGAGAAGGGGCCTGGACCAATGCTGGCCAACAGCAGGAGGCCTGGGTGCTGAGGGGAGGCCGGCTCCGGGTGGAGCCCAGGTGGCAGGTGGACACAGGCCCCTTGGGTCTGGGCTTGAGTCTGGGTGAAGGCGCTCGCTCAGCTCCCCCAGTTCTGCAGGGAGTCACAGCCTCTAGCACGGGGAGACTGTCAGTCATCCCTGACCGTCCCTCCTCCCTGGGGTCAGGTGAGGTCAGGGATGGAAGGCACCTGCTCTGTGACATGCATCAGACCTCTCCCCACCCCCGCCAGACACTGAGGGGGCTGACCCGCAGGCCTCGGGGCCCCCAGGACCGTGGTTGGCAGCCCACGTTGACTGAATCCTGTCCTCAGAGGAGCCAAGTCCCTCTGAGTAAAGAACAAATTCCCTGACCTGAGGTGCACACCCCTTTGTCCACTCTGTTCTGCTGCCTTGCAGTGCCTGCTGTCCTGGGACATCCGCCTTCCCGCCTTCTCTTTTCCAGTTGCCAAGCAGGGTGGTTTGTGTCGAAGGGAAGGGACACCCAGTCACATGCTGCAGACACACCTGATGGAGTTGTCTGCTGACGAGACAGCTCCTACCGGGGAGGGCTCCGGGGTTAGGAGGGACTCCACCCTCTACCTGGAGGGGCCCTGGCCGGCCCCCGGCGCTGCGGTCCGGCCGGCCTGTCTGTCGATGCCTGTACCGCAGGCCGGCTCTCAGGCCCTGCGAGCTGCGAGGTCCTCATGCTGGGAGGGTCCCAGAAGTCCTAGAGGCTCAACCAGACACAGGGTGTCCCCTGCCAGGCTCAGGGGTGAGCCTGGGCGTGTGTATCTGACAAGCCCTCTGGGCACCCTGCAGACCTGGGAGCTGGGGAACAGGATTTGGAAAGGCTTTCTGCTTGGTGGGGCCCCTCCTCCTGGACCCTCCCCTTGTTTCTCTCTGGCCGGCCTTTGGTGTGGCTGGCACACCCAGAAAGGGCATGAAAGTGTGAGACAGGTGCTCCAACCAGGTGCCCTTCTGCGTGGCCAGCTTCTTCTCTGTGAGCGACCCTCTCTTCCTTGCAGGCTGGCCCCGTCGGACATCGACAGCCATCTGGCTCAGTGCCTGGCGGAGAGCACGGACGACGTGGTGTGGTGAGCCCTTCCCGGCCCCGCGGCTTCTCCTCCACCTGCGAGACCACGTCCTCTGCTTCCCGTGCTAAGAAGCTACACATTAAAACGTGTCAGTGTGAAGTGCTCGTATCTCCGTGTGTGCAGACCGAAGCATTGGGTCCTTTTTCCTCTGTGGCTGTCGCTGAGCAGAGTGATGGCCAAGGTCGGGAAACGGACAGGGCCGCCTGGCAGAGGACCCGCCTGGGCAGGTTAGCGGGGACAGCCTCACGGGCAGTACGGGTATTTGTGCCCGAGTTGGCCTGAGTGCGGACATGGTGCTCACTGTGGCGCTCGGTGAAAGATGCCCGTCTGAAAGGCTACGGACTATGCGATTCCAGCCATAGGACACCCGAGAAAAGGCAGAACTGTGGAGACGATACAGATTGGCGGTTGCCAGAGGTCACTGGGGAGGGAGGGTTAAACAGGCAGAGCACAGGACTTTGAGGGCAGTGGAAATACTCCAGGTGGACCACAGCAGTGGATGCGTGAGACACACGTCAAACGTGGGTCCAGACCCACACTCAGTGCCGGTTCAGCAGTTGTTTTTTAATAGCTTTGTAAAGAAATTCTTTTTTGGTGGAAAATTAAGTTTATTTATTTTTAATGGAGGGACTGGGGACTGAAGCCAGGACCTCCTGCATGCTAAGCACACACTCCACCACTGAGCTCTGCCCTCCCCCGATTCATCGGCTGTAACAAATGCACCCTGTGTGGAGAGGGGATGTTGATGGTGGGGAGGCTGTGGGGGGGGCAGGGATCCGAGACCTCTCTGTACCCACCTGTCACTTTTGCTGTGAACCTAAAACTGCTCTTAAAGTGTTTTTATTAAAATGGCTTCAACAGCCTTGGCTTCCTGGAGACACTTTTAATGAAAAGAGTAACAGTCAGCATTGTCGTTAAAGTTTTTAATGAGTGTGCAAGACAGGAGCGGGCGTGGCTGTTGGGGACACTCACCCGTGGAGGGAGAGCTGCCAGCCACTCACTCATCGTATAAAACCACCAGGACGCGTCTGCCGCTTTACAATCGTGGCGTCACCCGTTTCCAAAAACTGTTCCGAAAGGACACACACCTCGTTGTGACTGGAGCTGTTCGAAAATGTTAGGATTTGTTTCCAAACCCCATCTCGGTACGCCCTTCACCTTTACATTAGGAAACAATTGACTGTGAGATCTCCCTTGACCGTGAGCACAGGTTACACACGTTTTGTACACGAGCAACCACACTGGTAACCGGGAAGCTATTTGGCAACATGGCAACATTGGAATAAATGCTGAAGTTTGAGCAAATCCAGAGCCCCTGTACTGTTGGAGCAAAGATGTCACCAACGCAGCAAGTGACCCCTCTGGGGAGCAGGGGGCTCTGAGGCCACTTGTCACCGCTCCATGGGCACACTGGGGTCTCCCTCCCCAGGTGACACCAGCAGGTCCCAGTGCTCCCTGGTCACGAGTGACTGCATAGCCCTCAGGCCCAGCTCTGTGACTGGCGTCCCTGCTGGGCCAACACCCATGAGACCCACAAGTCGGCTCACAGACTGCTCTGTGTCCCCAGGTTTTGTCTCTGGAGGCAGGTCTTCCTGGTACAACTGGGGGTTGGACGAACGCTGGAAACAAGTCTCCACGTCCCATAGACGCTGCTCTGCAACCCAGGGTGGCTCAGGGCGCGAGGGACCTGGGGTCTTGGGGACACCGACCTGGTGCTGCACCACAAGCAGCTGCAGCCTGAGCGTGGGGAGGGGTGGGCTGCATTTGCAGAACGAGGCCCAGGGGCTGCATGGTGATGCAGGCCACGTGCACACGGAGGATGTCAAGTACTTGTCCCTGGGACTTGGTCCCAATGGCGGACAAGAGCCCCGCCAGTGCTCCCGGGGACTCGCCTCACCTGACATGTTGGGGACTTAAAAAACCCAGACGGTTTACCTCTTCCTGGAAAACCCTCAGTTCGGCTTTTCACCTAAGGAAGGTGACCAAGTGACAAGTGCCCCTGCAGAGGACACCGGAAGTAGGAGGGGAGGGGAGCCGTGTCAGGAAGGTGCAGGATGGTGAGAGCGTCCTGCACTTGCTGCTGAGCTTTAAGGCTGGGGCCCGTCATACACACGTCTCCTTGAAATGCCTAGTTCTGAGTGTCAGCCTTATGGATAAAAATGTTTTCCAAAACTCTGATCGGTAACACAAGACATCACGGAAGCACTGCTTCATGTTTCCAGAAATATGTTTTGTGCAGACTGAGTTTTCAATTTGTTTCTTTTTCTTTTGGTCTCTGGGTGCTTTGGTGAGCTCCACGCTGCAGAACCTCTAAGATCCACTTTTCCTCACTGGGGTCTACCGCCCCGGTGGGGACCAGCGGGCCATCTGGTGAAGGTGTGCCTGGGGCGTTAGGCCACATGGCTACTTACACGCTCTGTAGGAAAGTTCTGTTAAATGTTAACAACTGGAACTTACCGGGGCTTAGAAAATGTTCCAGATTTGTTAAAAATTCTTCACTGCAGTGGATCCCTGCTGCAGGCACCTAAGCTCCCATCCCGCCCACACGCCAACCGCGCCTCCTCCGTGCCTGCGACGTGGGCAGGCGCCACGCGCGGAAAAAAGGCATGAGAGGGAAGCTTCGACAGCATCGGGACACTTTATTCCTCACGACATTACAGGCTAGCTCTCCCGGTGGAGCAGGTCAGTTCTGTTTCTGTGGGAAGTGTGCACCTTCGAAATCGGGGGACAGTTTCTCCCTCACACACGTCACCGCGGGTCTTCCGCGGCGCAGGCACGAGAAGCGAATTCCTCCAGCACGAGGCGGCGTGCGACCCGGACGAGGGGCTGCTCCGCCCCGCAGCCCCTCCGTGGTCCAGGCCCGGGGGCGAGTCCTCCTGGCCGCGCCCGGGCCTCGTGCCCAGCCTGGCATGCATACGCTGTGGTTAAGGACAGAGTCAGGGGCCATTCACGGACGTGTCCACGACGGAGAACACGGACG